AATCCCACTGTCCACGTCAGCAACAAAGATGTTGAACAAGACCAGTTCCAACACCGGTCCCTGAGGGGCACCACTCGTTACTGGTATCCAGCTGGACATTGAGCCATTGACCACAACTCTTTGTGTGTAGCCACCCAGCCAGTTCTTTATCTACTGAGTGGTCCACCTATCAAACTGATGTCTCTCCGATTTAGAGACAAGGATGTCATGCGAGACAGTGTCAAACACTGCACAAGTCCAGATAGATGACTTCAACTTCTCTACCCCTGTCCATCAGTTCCGTAGCCCCATCACAGAAGGCCACCAAATTGGTCAGGCAGGATTTCTCCTTAGTGAAAGCATTCTGGCTGTCACCTACCCCCTTGTTGTTGTAATAATTAGGATGCCAAAAAGAAAAGCAAAAACCAACAAAATTCCCCAAACATTTTAAAGGGTAAGTATCTTAAATTGTGTTGACAGTGACTGTTTTCTCATATAAAATATTTTGCTACCATAATGAAAATGTGATCCTGCAATTATTTCCTGAAATTTACCAAGGTAACAAGTGCACTTTGAATAAGAAGGCTGTAGATTGCTGTAATATGTGTTAGAGACTCCCAGACAGAAAAAATATGCGTGTTTTTCCCATGTAAAAATAAGGTGTTACCATGGAGGATTTGTTATAGCCAGTGTGGGAGAGTTCTGAAATGGCAAGGGCTAAAGCATTTTTAGAGACCGGAAGTTTGTTACTAGCAATCTGTTATCTGATATCTTCTGGCTAGCCAGAGGTGACTATCCAGTCCAAAGTCTGGGTTTACAGTTTGGAGGTTTTATTTTCCGTGTAACAATCCTGAATAAATTCTTTGATCATCAGCTTATCCCTGGGCATCTTGCATGGATTTAGTGTATTTGCTACTGGCCACCACAGACTGCCTTATGTTAGTAATTTTCCTGCACTAGGGATTTTATTTACTAACAAGCTGCTGCATGACTTTATGGAAATTAAAAGATGGTGTTTTAGCTGGGGAGAAGTGGAGTTACACTTCTGGAATCTATCAAGATGTTTTTCAGATGATTTCCAAGTCTGTTGACACAGAAATGCTCTAAAACTAATATAGACCAATCCTTTAGTGTTTCTTGTAGCTCAGTCCTCTGGCATCAGGCAATGGTTGGGCATTCTGCAGGAAGCAGGGAATTGAAGCTATTTGGTATTAGCATCAAAATTAGAATCTTCGTGCCAAAAAATTACTCCAAGTTCCTGTGAACCTCTGCAGGTACAAGTGATTATCATAAGATGTAGGATAAGGAAAATCCTCAAGAAAAACAAGGATTATTTTTTTTTCCTAAGTGAGGTCATAAACTGTGTTTTTCCTCAGATCCTCTTATCTTTTGACCATATAACAAGAGATCTGTTAACTGCTCATTCCTTCAGAGGAGTCCTTTCCAGCTTTTTTTCTTGCTCTTAAGGTTGATGCATAGCTCTATATTGTATTCATTTGTTTTCTTTTGAAAGAAATGTTGGAACTTTTTTAAAACAGTCATAGTATAGAGAAGCAGACAGCTTTTCTTTTTTTCATTTTTTTTTTTAATAAATGGTTGATCCACTCGAATATATCTAGACAGAACTTAAAAGATGTTGATGATTTGTTTTATTATTTCTATATAAAATTTACTTAAAGAAAACAAGTAGACACTCCTAAGGTGATGCTCCTTTTACATGAGATGTTATACCAACACAAAACAAATTAGGGTTTTATGCTTATCTGCATACCAAGATAAGGAAAAACAATGAGTATGAGAGGAAGTGCATTGCATTACTTGAAGTGCTGTTTGGATAGTTCTTAAGTGCTCTGAAGCTGCAGCATCAGAAAACTAACTATAGGGTCTTTTGTATTTTGGTCAGTGTTTGATGTGCCTCTGTAAAGAAGTTTTGGATTTTGGTGAACAATCTGAGACTCACCCCAAAAACCTGTGTGCAGATCAAGTGCGTTTTTCAGCTGTGCTGATGTGGAACCCTTGTGGGGATCCAAATTCCTGCCTGTGAGAGGAAGCAGGTTCCAGAAACCAACACTGATGGGTAGCCTTGAGATTCAGGTGCCTACTCGAGTTTAATTTTGCAGGAATGAGATGCTGCCTTTACCAGTCCTACCTTGTAGCCTTTCAGGGTCATGTCCTTTCATCAAATATTAACCAGAAGTAAAGGTGTTGGATGTTTCTGATATAGCTATGTCATCCCCAGCCTCTCCAAGAAAGAAAGAAACTGTTAGATGTGGAAAAAAGTGGAATCAACAAAGCTTGGCAAAGAAAAGTTTGTTATGTAAAAGTTAAATAATTATTCTATATATTTTCTTCAATTAGTGTTCAATTATTTGTTATTCTAGAAATAAGTAAAATTAGGTTGGGGACTGATACAGAAAAAGAAAAATCAAGAAACCAAGTAGAAGAAGAAAAAAAAAAAAAGCAAGGAAACGTGTATGTGGGCTGCTAAGTGATGGACATATGAGGCAGGAATTATTGATGAGGAGTAGGAGAACTGAGAAATGGACCAGGCGCTAAAAGTCCCTAACATGTACCATACTAAGCACCATATGGAGTACTACACTAAATGGTAGCACCAATATCTAGTAGATTAAAAAAATAAATACCTAAGTTAGCATGCTAATGGTTTAGTGAAATTTTTTAAACTGTATAATATTAGTTTAACACAAAAGGATCTCAAAGGTGGGTGTCAGGAGGATGGTGCCAGACTCTATTTAGTAGTGTCCAGAGACAAGACAAGGAGTAGTGGCCATAAACTAAAATACACAAAGTTTCAGCATAAGAACTTTACATTGAGGGTAGCAGAGCACTGGAACAGGCTACCCAGGGAGATTGTGGAGTTTCCCTCTCTGGAGACATTCAAAACCCACCTGAATGCATTCCTGTGTAACCTTCTCTAAGTGGCCCTGGCTTGGCCACCTTGGGATTGTATTGTCTTGGGGTTGGACTAGATGATCTCCAGAGGTCCCTTCTAACCCTAACAATTCTGTGATTCCATGATCTATTTACCCTACTGGAAGAAATCATAAAGGATAAGGGTAGGCAAGAAATCTGTTTGCAAAATTACTCACTGAGCAGGTATTTTATTTGTTGTGAAATTCATTTTGTTCTAGAAGGATACAAATGCAGGGAAATAGGAAAACTGATTTTCAGTTTTTGTTGGTTTGGGTTGGTTTTAATAGTACCAAAGTTTTAGACAAAGTATAATCCCACAATGGGAATGTTTCCTTCTTTTTTTTGTGGGAAGTCTAGGTAAGACTCTTTCATGTATTAAATTAAATTTTCCCAGTTGCAAATGCTCTAGATAGTTTCAGACTTTCTATTGCTGCAAAGAACAGCAATATTTTCACTGAACTACACTACTTTGTCAACAAGTCTGTTATGATAGCACAGGGAGCAAATTTTGATATAACATTTGTTGCTTAAAAAAGTAGATTTGTCTAATGCACTACTCATAAAAAGGGTCTTCTTTTTTGATAAATTTTCAATTTGATTGGTATTTAAAACCTTCTTGAGGTTTGCAAAGAGATGGTCGAAGTTGTGTTGAAGGAGTTACAACTTTTATAGGGTTTTTTTTTTTGTCTTTTCAGTAGCATTGATACTTTTTTCCTCTTTAAAAAGGATTATTTATTTATTAAAAACAACAACAACAACAAATTAAACCACACCTTTAAAAATCACTGAGAAAAAACAGTCTGGTTGCCAAGGCAAAGTTTGTTTTTCCTTCATACATAATAATATAAACTCTCAGGTGTTTATTCATTAATTGCAAATGTTCAGCAAGTAGGGAAATGACTCATGCTTCATCAGCATCAAACCCAGATTCTGGAATTTGATTAACTTCAGTTCGCTCTGTCAGTGGGAGGATAGACTTTCATGGTATCATTACTGTTGCCTCTGTCTTTCTGGTCTGATTCTGGAGGGAAACATACTGTACAATTTCAAAAGAGAAACATGGAGGAAAATATTCATATCTCTATTTGATATTAAAAATTAGATAAACAATAGAAATACTGAGGGGCTTATTTGTTAGTTTGGTCCCTCTCATTTTTAGCATCAACTAGTGTTTCTGAGATGTTAACTGGTGGGATTTTTTTTCTGTCAACCTGTTGACTTGCCCAACAGGGAAAACTAAAACTTCTTCAGCTTGGAAAGGGTTTGGCGTACATGGATCAGCAATATGCTCTTCCCACAAAGGAAGCTAGTGGTATCCTGGGCTGCATTAGGAGAAGTGTTGCCAGCAGGTCGAGGGAGGTGATCCTTCTCCTCTAGTCAGCACTTGTGAGGCCACATCTTGCAGTGCTGGGTTCAGCGCTGGGCTCCCTAGTACAAGAGGCAGATGGACACACTGGAAAGAGTGCACTGAAGGGTCACAAAGATGATGAGGGAACTGGAGGATCTCTCCTGTGAGGAAAAGTTAAAAGTGCTGAGACTGTTAAGCCTGCAGATGAGAAGGTTTATTCATTGTATACTCATTATTGAGTATATTCTCTATATGTGAACAGTTTAGAAGACACAGACAGGCTCTTTTCAATGGTGCATAGTGACAGAATCAGAGGCAACCTTAAAAATGTGGTGATACTAATTGGCATAATTAAGTTGCTTCCCTTAACCAATAAAACACTGATGTTCCTATATCAGGTAACTTATTTGATGCAGATTCTGAAACTGATCGAAGTTGTACAAATAAGAAATTGAAAACTATATTACAGAATAATCACAAAGCTGTCTAAATGTCATTGTAATAACTATGTCTCCAAGTAGAACTTTATTAGAGAAGTAGACCTTTTACTTTTCAACATGTTACATTTTATAGAAGGTTCTGCAACTTCAGACTCTGCCTGTTTATGGTTTGTTATCAATTAAAAGGCTTGTAAATTACCTGGGGGCAGGGTGATTATAGTAAAAATGGAGTAGTTGTGGTTAATATTTTTATTTGTACTATTTATACGTTGGCCTTAAATGCTTTTCTTCATTTTAAGGTAACTGAGCTGCACAATATCAAAAACATAACTAGATTGCCTCGAGAGACAAAGAAGCATGCAGTGGCAATTATCTTTCATGATGAGACGTCAAAGACATTTGCGTGTGAGTCAGGTAAGCAATTGGTACCACATTTCTAGCTTGAATAAATAAAGTTGCGGATCAAAGTTTTCCTCGGATGAATTAACTTAAAACACCAGATAGATATATTTAGCTTAAGAGAATCTGTTGTCAACAAGAACTTCAGAGTTTGAGGTTTAGTTTTGTGGGGGTTGGTAGGGTTGGTTGGTTGTGTTTTTTTAGTATACTTTGGGAGGTGCTGGGGCTGTTACAGAGCTCTTTCTTCCATTAGTTATCTTTGCATGCAGATGGTCTAAAGACTGGAGATTTTCAGCTGAACTTGTAAAACTGAGTAAAAAACACCTATGAGATGTTATTAAGTCAACATGTGAAACATTCTTTTTTTCTTTTCGTTTTTTTACAAAGTTTTGCTGTAGGCACTTACTAAGCTAATAATTATCATGCCTTGCAAATAAGAGGTAAATACCAGCTAAAACCTCAGGATATCATAAAGCGAAATGTCAAGCAGTCTGTGGTTTGCACAGATACAGGGTATAATGAATGAGTGAAGTTGAGAATAAGGCTTGGTCATCATGATATGTAATGACAGGTAGTTACATGTGAGTCATTGGACACTGCACTATTAAATTACACTTTCTTATTGAAATTGCAGTTGTACATGTATGTGTCCTAGGCTATATTTTATCAGATTTATTTTTTTTAAAGAATGAGAATTTTTTTTAATGATAAAGTTTCTGTTTGTTTAGTGACATATTTGAAACTGTGCATTTTTAAATGATACATTAATATTATCATATAAACATTGCATGGTGTGCAATCTAAGTCAAATACAGTGAAACAAAATTCAAGAAATATGGAGAAGGTAAGTTAAAAGTGAGTAAGATGATAAATTATGTGAGTTTTGTGCCAAGAATTGCAAACTTTCATATGTACATGAAAGTACAGATTTGCAAAGATTTGTTTGTTTACTAATTTCAAAACACGCATAGAAATTTCTGGCTTTCTAGGATCAGTTTAACAGCTTATTAGATAAATAGTTCACATTAAATATTTTAATTTCTAACTAGTAGAATTAATAATGACTCTATAATATGGTTAATAATCAAGTAAAACCATTTAAATAATATTTCAACAGCACTGAAATCGGTTCTATGGAAACTTTTCCATTTGCCCATGTATGCATTCCCCTTGATCTCTAATGAAAAGATATTTTTTCCTTCCCTGGAATTACTATAGTGCATGCATATTTGAAAAGTGACAGCAAATCATAACTTCAGGATTCTTTCACCAAAGGGGCAAGCCTAAGAAAGCCCAGCATGTCTGGCCCACTCATCCTTTCTTACTGTAACAAATGTGATGCAGCTCCTTAACCCTGAGCCCAGTTGTGTACACAAGACCATAAGGTGCTAACAAGATGACAATATGAGATGCCCTGCCTCAAGGCTATGTTCTGTGCAAAGGTGTGTTTTGAGTCAGTGGAGCCTTGGGTAGTGATGAGCCAGTGGAGAGCTCATGTGCTTTTTCAGGCTGGAGAAGATCTTATTGCTCCTTACTACTACCTGATCTGAGAATACAGAGAAGATGGAACTATAAAAGTGTGAGATAACTTGGTCTTTCTGAAAGACAACAAATCTTAGCTGTGATTATAGTGGAGTTTCAACCAGTTTGCCTTTCTCCAGCCCTTCAGTCTATCTAAACAGTATAAACTGTTTCATCTCTACCAGATGATAGATACACTGCTTTGTTTCATTGAGATCTGACTCTCTTGAACTTGAAATCTTTTTTGTGTTCTCAACTATGAAGATATGGTCTAAAAAAAAAAACCTTCTTTTGCAGCTCATTTCCACAACCGAGTTCTATCTTCCCACATGGAACTATTACCATTTTTACTGCCACTGAAATGTGCCAAGTACTTTGCTTTCCTATTTGAAACTTTAATAAGTTTAAGGAATATTTAGAGAGCTGCTTGTTACTTAAAAATAGTTTCTTCTCAGACCTCAAAAAAGAAGAATAAAAATCTTAGTGGCATTGGTTTCTATAGGACAATGCCTAGATTTTAACACCCTTATGGTGTGCACACAATGAGGTTTATTTTGGCAAATCAGGCCACTTCTTTGATTAACACAGTAATACCTTTAGTCTTTTAATAACCTTTCTTTCCTATGGCTTCAGTGGAAAAAAAACCCACAACACTCAAGTGGTTTTGACTCAATCAAAAATCTTCTTCCAGAATCATAGCTGTTTGACCTTCTTGAAATATTTAGGAGTTTCATAAGATGAATATTTTTCCACCACGGAGCCTCTAAATATACAGGAGCAGATACTTTGTTTTCTGTCATCTTGACCTACCAGAGGCAGATGGAAGGACAGTAACACTGAACGCATTGCAAAAGATCTGAGTAGAATCAATAATTTCTTGAAAAGGAGGAGGAAGTAATGCTCAAAGCTGAATCGGTTTTATATGGGGACTGAACAATGCGAGGTAAGGGTTTTGGCATAAAAAGGAACAGGAAACGTCTTAAAACAACAACCATATCATGTTGGGTTTGCTAGTATGAGCTGATATCTTTTTTGCTGTGAAGTCTAAAAGTCCATATGATGAAAAGTAGCACATTTTTCTGGTACTTAGCTTTCTTAATTATGGAATTAAGCACAGAAAAATGCTGTTATGTTTTAAAATAGCTCTCTAAAGATATAGAATGCTTTGGTCCTCCCCAGAAAGCCTGAGAGCTGTGATATGAGCCCACTAGGTGTGCTGGCTGGGAGCCTATATTTTCTTCCTAAGCTCATGCAGCTTCTAGGCCCTCAGTTTGCTTACTGTCTTCAAGACAAATGCTGACAAGTCTGGGCTCTGTCATCATTTGCTAATGAAAACATTCTGTAGAAAATAAGAAAAACAAACAAACAAACAAAAGTCCTCCATATGCTTTTGTTATCATCTAGCTGTTCCCGGCACTACTACCAGTGCTCCTGGCATTTGAAGAGTGTTCAGTTCTGAAGCTCTGCAGAAATATTTTGAAGAGCAAACCAGTCTCAGATATTACGGTTCCCTGATTGAAAGCATGGGATAACAAGTCTTTAAAGAAGAATCATCCCTCTTCAGGGAGAGAAGGAAGCTGCTTACTGTCTCTGTATCTCTTTCTGACATCTTTTCTAGTGGGCAGAGACTTGTGACTTTTGTGATTAGCAACAACTGTTTTAAATTGTCTCAGTTACTATCAGAATTGATTCAATGGAAGTAAGCTAATGAGAAGTCATTACTGACTAAATAACATGAAAAGTAATCTGTAAATAAGTGAACTAAAGACAGACTCTAAAGGGAATTCTCCTCCAGATGATGGGAAATTGCTGCCACCTTAGCAAGAAACATGCTAAGGTCTCAGTTTCCTGAAACCTGAAAATCATGTGAAAGTTACTGCCATTAAGGGAATTTAACAATTATTTATTTTTTGTTTAGTCAATAATCATCAAAATCTCAGTTGCTTTAGAAAAAGGGAAATGCAGAACTCTTGGGTTATTAACACACTGAGACTTGGGACAAACTTAAATGTTGCCAAAAGTATAAACAGGTCAAGTGGAAGGACAGAATGCTGTGGAGAAAAATGAAACAGTTTGAGGAAACTGAGCATATTTACTAGAGCATAATAAAGGTTAAAAAGATAATTCTGTTGTCTTTTGAATGCATTGAGGAGAAAAAAGAAAAAAACAATGTAAGTTTTTAAGATGCAAAGTGATCTTCCTTCAAGAACAAATGCAGAATATATGCGCAGTATCAGTGTGTGATGCTATGTCCACTCAAATAGCAGGAGCAACCTAGACTGAAAAATAAGAGGAACATTTCTAGGGGTTAAAGCAGTGAGGCCCCACACAGCCTCACAGAGATCCTTCCCATGTGGGTTTTTCTGCACTCCACAGCATATTATCAAGCAAAAGGAGAAACTCTTTTAACTCTGGATACTAACTACTGGTTTGAGGTGGCTTTCCCTAACAGCTTTCACACAAAAAAAAAAAAAAAAAAAGTTGTTGGGTTGCATTTTGTTTGGTTTTTTTTGTGCTTTTTTTTGGGGGGGGGGCTCATCAGGTAACTACGCTGTTAGTTTTTGTATAGATATGCTCAGACACTTGTATCTACAGAGAAGCTCTTCTTTCTGCAAGCCTCATGTCTGTAACGTGGCTGTAACCCAAGTGTCTGGACTGAGACAGAGATTCTGAAATGCCCTGTAAACTCTCTCTAAGTTGTAGATGTGATGCAGTGAGAAATGATGGCTGTGCAGGACCAACAAGAAAATTAAACTCGTGGACATGAATACTGGTTAAAGCTAGAAGGTTATGGTGCTATTACAGAAGTTAAGGCATGATAAGGACTGTGCCTGAATAATAGCTAGCTTTGAAGGAATGAAGTTTCTGGATTGCACTAGGTCAGTGACAGACCATATGGGAGCATTATTTTTCCTTTAGTGATAGCAGCAAAATACTAAGTGATACAAATCACTGGCTCTTTTAGGCTGAGTGGACCCACCTGCTCACATTTGTGTAAAATTTATTTTGATTTTTAAATGACAGAAGGTGAAGAAAATTGATGACCTTGTAAAACTAGTGATAAATGAAAGATAACGGTTGCAAATACCATGGATTCAGGGACAAGAGAAATTAGGGTTGAAATGTGATTTCAGTGATTTGTGTATAGAATGAGATATAACATGAGAAAAAGGGGCAAAATCACAAAGAAATCTTAAAACTGTAGCTGTGAAACAAATGCAGACATCCTCCAAGATATTAATATTTGGCTTCTCTTTGGTAGAATGGCCCATTCTGTATAGAAGTAGATGGATTGAAGGAGTTCCTTTCTTTCCAGTCATGAATGAACTAAAGCTCTAGAGCCACTGCAAACAAGAAAGAAATTGGTTTTAAGAGGCTGTACTTTGGCATTCCCTTAAAACTTCCACTATTCAAGTGCTGGGGAAAATAGAATTGGATTATTGCAAAAAGTCAATCACTTACCTTATTTGAAGCTTCTTTTTAGAATTACACTA